CTTTTTCTTATCGTGGAAAAGCAAGATAACCAGCTGTTTACAGATCAGAGAACATATCATATTAATATCATGGAGAGGGGCGATATCATCTTGTTTGTAAAATATTTTGTTAACTAAGTGCGGTGTGGTAAAGCGACCTATAAAGTGAAAGTTGTAATTTGTGTTTTAGTGAAAATGTTGTCGTTTGAAGCCTTTTTATGATAAAATACATGTGTTAAAAGAGAGAAAACAGAAAATGCTGTAAGGAGCCTCTTAAATTAGACGAAGAGGAAATAGAAAATGAATGCAAACCACAGATTATAAATAATAAATTACAAAGCTTTCAGCAGTTACAATTAAATATATAGACGCCCCCCCCCCCTCCCATACACACATCCCAGTTTGTCTCAACACAAGCAGGGTCACTTTTATTCTGTCTCCTTGAATTTTACAGTTACAAGATAGTGTAATGTGATGTGAAACAGTCACTACACAGTATTTTGATGTGTGAATTCCTGTGTCAGAGTCCCAGTAAAGTGTTCCTGTAACTGCTTATTTAGGTTTATCATATCCCGAGAGTAGATTCAACATGAGAGGTGCAAATGAGTTAACTTGCAGCACAGGTTTAATTTATATAAAGTGCAATATCTGTAACATTTCTAATAGCATCTTCTGCTTGATCGTGATGAATTTGGAAATTTGAAAGGTGCAGTCACCTGTTAACTTGATTAAACATTTTTTTTGGACATATATCTTGATCCTGGGAGTGATTAGCGCGTGCTTGTCATCTCAGATCAAACTTAGCCAGAGATGATTCATAAAACGTCCACTGTGTAACAAATTGGAGGCACTTATATTTGCCATTCAGGGAGTATGGGAGGCCTGCTGTTTTAAACCCCTAGATCCCCACACATGGCGTAGCCACCACAGACACGGCTCAGAGAGTCAGCCGGCAGCCGGGAGGTGAGCAGAAAGGAACAGGCGGTGTCCCCTCCAGAGTGAGCACAGGAGCATGTGTGTGTGTACAGCATTTGTGTGTGTGTGTGGCATTCTCAAATGACAAAAGGATACCAGTTGTGCTGTTCAGGTGGGAGGAGACATGAAGGTGGTATGGAGACTCACCTGAGGGAGAGTCAGATCTGTTGGGACCGGGGCTGCAGTGGAGACCAGGAGATGTGTGAGGGGCCGCAGGAGGCCACCGCGCCGTGGAAGAGGTTTTGGGGGGCTGGAGGGAGAGGGGGCTGCTGTTGCGCAGTCTCCCCAGCGTGATGCATCTACCTTCAGGGTGGCAGCAGGCGTGGAGTGGGGTGCGATGGAGCGAGCACGGGCTCAGTGGCGCGGTCACCTAGGGACGCTGGAGCTGCTGTAGCAGGACTGATAGTTATTTCTTGGGAGAATTGCAAGATGAGCCCCATTGTATTAGCAAACCCCTTCTACTTAAAATGTATCAATGCGCTCAGATCTGTAAGAAAAAGTTGGGGTTCAAAACATCAGACACATCCCTGAAAAGCAATATATAGTTTGGTTTTAAGTTTTATTGCTGAAGCATTATGTATCATTTCTACACACTATTTAGTAATTAGTCAATTAATATCAGTAATTAATTCTAAACTATATTTTTCACTGCGAATCTGAATGAAGGTTTTTACAGTTAAACTTGAGTAAATTCCTTTGGCAGTGGTAAGCCAGCAAATTATTCCATACTGATTTGAAATTCTCAGACATTAAGCTTTTTAATTTCCCACCCACACTTTTGTGTTGCTACTGTTTGAGTCGTATCTTTTAGAAATTCTCTGTGTCTAATATGGTCAGCACTCCCAATTATTCACTCCACTGACAAGTGAAACAAATGGGACCAACCAGTGCATTCTGTATTATCTACACCCCTTGGATTCCCTGACAATAATTAATACAATGGCAAGCTGCTGTTACCAGCCTCGACGACACGAGCTCAACAACATAAGCTCTGCCTTTTCCGAGGACTCTTGAGAGGAAATTACATCCAGTAGTGAGGTCACATACGTCGCGACCGCCAGCAGCCGGGTCACATCCAGTCTGGGAGCCTAGATCAGATAAAGGTCCTATTGTAGGGCGCCGTTAGCATTCTCAGGTTATTACTCACATCATTACACCATGACTGTAAGGTGCATTGGATACGTCAAGAATAATATGAATGTAGTCCTGACCACAGGGAGAGACACACAGGCTTTAACTGGGAAGACCGTCCCATATATGTATCTGGGAAGTTCATTAATATGCCACATGATCTCAGTGAGGCAGCAGTGCTGACGACCCCACCGCTGTGGTCACACACCATTATGTAGTGTTACTTCATTTCCTCATAATACATATAAACAGGGAAACTGCATTACTAGTATATCATATAAATAGCATATAGTGTATGTGAGCAGTGCTACATGATTTAGGTTGATATTTTTGAATTGAAACAAACATATTGAAACAGAAATTAAATAAAAACAAGCACATTTTTGGTTTTAACCGTCAAATGACCGATATGTCCTTTTAAAGAGTTGTCATGTAATAATACCAACCCCTCTTATTTTAGCCTTTGAGGATATTAACAGGTTTTTTTTTTTAATTATAGAGGCGCACATTCCCTCTACATCCATTAAAGGGATGCCATGCTAATTTTAAATCCTCGCAGCAGGCATTGGCATCAACAGAAGAAAAGTGGATGAGTTTCTCTTTAACAGCTGTAATTTGTGTTTTCCAATCACCATGCTGATTTCTGCTCATTATACTCTGGTTTCACACCGGTAAGTGAGAAAAGTTTGGATTGATTGACTCTAATTAACTAAAAAATGTTCCAAGCCATGGATTTATTATCATGCTAGCTAGCCACAAATGTCAGAGACTTTCACAAATTATTATCCTGTTAAGATAAATATCTTTGAAATCAAACGGGCGTGAAAACACAAGGAACATGTATTGTTATACTGATGGGTTTGTTTGGCATGTTTTCCGTGCAGTTCCACATTAGAGACTCACCTGGGCAAACACAGTTCCAGTGTATTGTTAAGCCGTACAGTATGACTGAATGACAGATGCTGTCGTTACCTCAACTTTAAACGAACACGCTCCCTGATAACTTGCTGTGGTGTATAAATGATGTTGGGGAGCAAACAGTCGATAAGATTTGAAATGGTTTAGTCAAAAGAAAAACATATTCTCCATGTGATAAAAGGTATTAACGGTTCCCATATGTAGCAGTGTAGAACTGCCTGGTCCTCTCTATGTCAACACAAGAGCTATTCCCTCCAGTGTGTTCCAAAACCTGGCAGCATCTCCCTCATTGATATTTTAGACACAGTAGCACCTCTCTCTCCGCTCACATTCTTTCCTTGACTCCGTCAGCTCCATGGCTCAACTCTGCACTTGCTCATGAACAAAGACGGGACGGCTCTGAGTGGACACCTCCATTTCCCTGGCTTTTAAAAAAGAGCTTGAAACAGAATTCTGGTTTGCCCGAGGAGTCAGAACGCTGCTCTGATTCACTTGGCTTCGCCTCGACGATCAGAAGTGATCACTGAGGTGAATCCACACGAAACGGGCCCATCGTCTGCGTGACGGTGCCAGGGCTGAGAATCATGCTGCCTGTAAATCAGATCCTCCCAACATGTCTTTTTGCAAAATATGCTTTTATACTAAACTACAAAAAAAAATCTGAAGCGGCGTTGATGTATTGCAGAATACAACAACATAGTGAGGCCCGTGCTGTAAATTCCATTCTCATCACCCTGAAACAAGCGTATATATTAAATGAAAGAAAATACATCTCAGCTGTCAGCCTCTTTTAAAGCAGCATTAAGGTGTGTCCACTTTGAGGCACGCCTGCAGATAAATGTGATGACATCTAGTTGTGGCTCTGTTTCATTTATTTAGGGGATTGATTAGATGCAAGGAGAGTAGATAAATGTGTTGAAGAGGCACTTCTTTTTGAGATATCGCCTTAAAGTCAGTAAGGAATATGAGATGGACTGAACATTTTTCTCCTCAAGGTGCTGTTGGAGATGAAGCATCATAGTTTTGCGAGTAGTCGATATGAGGTATTACGTCAGAGCGCGTGTCACTGTAGAATTTTATATACAATAACATGTGCTATAATATGGTATAGGTACTATTATGTTGGATATGTAAGTTGAAAGCTATAGAAAAAATAATATATATTCATTTAATTCAAGTTTATATTCCAATTGACTAGATAATAATGATCCTTAATTTGAGATGAAACGCTACAGTCATAGTAGGATGATAAGTAAAATAAATGGACCATGTTGCAGTCAATAATGTCTCTCCAAGGTTGTGCTGTCCATGCTGCCCCCTTCTGTCTCCACTAGTGGGAGAGGCATCAACCAAACAACAGCATCTCTATCAACCAGACACAGACAGAAGGGCAATAAAAAGAGCAGTGTAAAAGCACCGACCTTTACACCACCGCATTATAAAGAATATCAATAGCACTGTTTCAAGATGTATATGATCATTATTGATTACATGTATTATCATATATTCTTTTTGACTAGAATATAAATATCTGAATTTGATAATATTAAGACAAGTGTTGTTTTTACAGAAACATTTCTTCTGAACTTTTTATATAGAGTGAGTCTATATGGAGCAGACACTAGGGTCGTCTACCATTACTATGACATTGCAGAAACATGATGGAACAAAAATCAATTTTCTACAAGTACTAAATGTGATTCAGTTAAGATTCCAAATTGAAAACAGTGTTTCCCCAGGGTTCTTTAGAAAAGCCAGTGGATAGTGCACACACAACATCCTTTTGTGCACACTATTTACCCCTGGATTGCTTCAGGCTAATGTCTCAATAATTTTCACTCCTTTCTCAGGTCCTTCCCACAAAGGACTTAACTAATGATCCATGGACAAAATGAAGCATTTAAATTTATTCATTAATCATTCATCTCCAGCTCATTGAAAATGCTAAACTTCCACAAAATTAAGATTGAATATTGAAAAGTGATTGAGGGAGACAGCTTTCAGAGAGTGGGGAGAGTGAAGGGAGCTGAGGAGCGCACGGGGCGAAGACAAAAACAGGGTCTTTCTGGAGACGGTGGTCTTCTTGGGCATGGTCAAGGTGGTCAAGGTGTACTAAGTGCTAGTTAAGGTCACAGGGTTTCACTAGTTGTAATTAGATCTTGGAATCTGGAGGAGCGTAGAATTTCTGTCAACACTGCCTGTAATTATTCTCTTTTCCAATTAATGGTGACATAGATTAATTATCTGATGAGGCAAAGCCAATTGCAATCATTCACCCAGCTAAAATTAGATCAGTCCTGACAGCAGCATGAAAGTCACCTGTTTCATTGTTATGGATTTGCTGCAAGTATAGAGGGGGATAGTGAAGCGTGCTAGGGTAAGTAAGTTGTCTGGTACAGGTGAATGTCCAATTACACTGCTGTTTGAACTGAAGGCATCTACTCATTCGATCTGGCGGCATCTGGACCAGCTTGTTTGTTCACCCCGGCATCATCGGTGGTAGTAGAGTCATCTGTCAGGGATTGCAGGAACGCAGCGATGAGTTGAATTTCCTCTGACAACCCCTCCTGTTTGAATAAGGGGATAAACACAAATGAAAAGAGACTAATTAAGAAAATGTAGTTTTTGTTAAGAGGCAATAACATAAAGTCCATGTGCATCCAACAATTGTGAGAGTTAAAGTACCATCTTGTTCTTATTTTTGTGTGGAAGGAGAACAAGAGGCTCCTGGTGAACCATGTCCAGGTTCAGTGCTCTTCTGTTTTAAAAACCTCAGCATCCAGTTTTTCTATTAAACTGCCTGGCACTGTCAACCAGCTTGGGAATCTGAACTGGCCTAGCCATGCAGAAATTCTCTGACTAACAATTATATCAGAAACAGGATCTTGGATTACTGTCCCCCGGGACTGGGGCAGTGGGCGTCTGCTCCAATCATTACTGGCCATTCAACAAGGCTCTGCACTGCTCTCTGCTGTTAGCCATTGTCAATTATGCCATCCCTAGTGTAAACCCGCAGAACACAAAGCTGAACTGCCAGTTCTGGCAGGAGTGTAACAGGATGACAGCCCGCCGCCCCCCACTCCCACTCCCGCCCCCCACCCACTACCACCCACCCACCCGAGGGTTCCCCAGGCCTTCCTTCCCTAAAGATACTTTTCAGCAAACTGCCATTTGGCTTCTGATTCGAGCACGCCTTAGCCGTGAAAGCGCTAACCTGACCTCTCTTATGTTCTGCTTGTGGGGTTAAGTGGACATGATGGATTAGTACAGGCCTCATCAGGATTCACCCTGGGTTTAACTCCAGTTACAACTGGTATCATTTCTATATATTTCTACATTTCTTTCTTATAAACTGGCAACTGATACTGATAATCTCTGCATCATATTCGCCGTCTGCTTTGAGTCTCTGTGTTTAGTTCTGTCCCACTCAAAAGACCAAGTGCATTCTCACTGGCAGTGCATTTCTTTATGGATCACATTCAAGGTCTTAATATTTAGGCAATCATGCAGATTGCATGTTTATGCGTGCTCATAAACTCATAAATTTTTTTCTTTTTTACTCATAAAGGTTTTTCTTCTCCGTGTGTGTAGACCCTGAGCTGGACTGCTCATGAGGAGCCTGTTTAAAGTGAATGCTGCCTGCTCTGATGGACCCTGTGCTGAGCTGTGACGGGTGACGGTGTGGTGCGCTTGAATACACCAGCTCTTTTGTCCTTCACACTCTGCAGCTCTGTGATAGCTCCTCCCCCTGTGCCCCACTCCTCCCTGCCTTGAGCTGTGATCTGCTGGGGCCTTTTGAGGCTGGGCTGCTGAGACATGGCTGCTCCCTGTAATGTCTGGACCAGACCTATCAAAAAACCATGTCAGCAGTCAGAGGAAGAGGAACTGAGAAGGAAGCCACTTAATAGTACTTGCACTAGGTACACCCTGGAAAACCTCTAATCAGATGTTAGCTCAGTTTACCTCCAGCATATCTGATAAAGTCAGACGAATTATAATTTTTAAGTTAATTTAAACAACAAAAACGACATATGAATTTTACACAAAGATAACTCTGAATGCGACTGACAGACACGGCTAGCCACAGGTTTGCGATGCCCTACACTTAAGGGATAAAGTGATCCATAGTATGACTGCATGCTGCCTGGCTCTGCTGTAATGCTGGACAGAACATTTTATAAAGATTCATCACTGTCCCTCTGTCCGCTTTGACCTCATCTCACGTCACAGCACAGATTAGACACCGATTATCCTCTAATTGAAGATCCTTACTTCTCAACCTTGCAGAATAAGCTGCTGCTCGTCTGCGAGGCAGACAGAAGGTTATTCCCCTCACATAGAAGAAAAGAAACTGTAATACAGACATCCACCATTTGCATCTCACTCACTCTGAAAAAGACGAGTCAGAAATGCTCCTGCTAAACAGCAAACAGGCTCAGATGTTAATGCGATGTGACCAAGCACAATGTGTTGTGTATATAGAGATATCCAGAGAGGCAGAGCCAACCTCAGACATGGGGTCACTGCATAAGCCCTCTCGAAGACACATCATCCATCACATCAGTCTGTGATCTCATGAGTGAATGTATAGACTGTAATGTAAGAGTGGCATATTTAACTCCACCATAGCAGGGAGGCGTGGAGCCATGGTGGGTGTTTGCCTGGCTGCCCTTAGTTTTGCAAAGAAGACACAAGGCAATCGAGTAGCCGGATGAGGCTCAAACAATACCAGGCATAACGTCAAGTTCCTGTTGTAGGCGGAGGAACACGCTCCCACCTGGTAGAATACAGAGACTAGGGTGAAAGTTGAAGAAAGGGACTCGCCTTTTAAATGAATGGGGAATGTAGTGAAGCCTTTCTGCCTGTTTTACATGTATATGTGCAAATACCTGGGCTGTTTTTATTTTCTGGTTGGTCTCTTGAGAGAGAGCCTGGCACCGGTCCAGTTCAGCCTGGCTGTAGAGGCTGCGTTGTTTGAAGTATTTCACCAAAGCTTTGTGCATCCTCTTCTGCAACAAAGAGAGCTAGGGGGAGAGAAGGCAGAGAAAAGGAATTGGTAAGGCAGGAGAGGAAATTAATGGCAGTGTTCAAGAAGAATGATGGAGGGGAATAGAGAAAGCAGTCAATAGCCCATTCTGCAGTACACGGGCCTGACAGGAATTTCACAGTCTCTTGGTTTCTCTGCCCACTCGTGTGCACTCATCAGAATCCAGTCACATCTGGCTGCCAGGATGGGGGGTTAATTTTCTCTAAATGCTTCAGCAGTTTTGTTCTAGCCGAGGCAAACTCTGTGACTGCAAAGCTGATGAGTAAAATATTTCTACTTCACCCAGTTTAACTTTATACCAATCCCCTCAAGACATATTTTACACATACACACAGAGTCATGAACCCCCCACTGAAACCAGAAATTATTCCTAGTCTCTTGGAAAGACATGCTGCTTGCTTTATTATTTGAACACAGTTTCAAGCAAAGAGGTTTAAATTCTGATAGATGCCGTTGCTTTTCTTCCCCCTCCATCTCTCCACTCTTCCTACAAAGCTTATCATTGCTTGGCAATGTGTTCCCCAGTGCATTGAAAACTAAAGCGAATTAGCTCAGTCATCAGCTCCTGAAGGAAAGACAATAACAAGAATGCACTTTATGGTGTACCCTGTGAAAAGCTAAGAGCTGAAAGCCTCCACATAAACAAAGCAATGCTTACATGTACAGTAGATTCAAAAGGATTTTTATAAGAGCTGCATACTGGCAAGTGCTATCAGATGCTAATTAATCAGGCTTTTTTTCTCTTTTACAATGGGAGGATTTTGCATATTTGATTTATACTTGTTGAGCTCATTTGACTTCAAATACTTCCTTGTATCCTTGCTTTAAATATGCTAATTTTACATTAACCAGTGGGTCTTAATCAGATAATTAATAAATAGGACATGACACTACTACAACAAACAATACAATGATGTGTAGGTTGTTGTGACTGAATAAAACGTAAGTTCAATTAAGTTAAATTATTAGTATCTAAAATACAGGTATATTATAGCTGCAAACTATAATGTATAAATATATATTAAAGTAATATGTTTACGTTTTCCCCACCTGTTATCATGGGGTATGACTAACAAGTACATTTATGTGCCTAATGCCAAAAAAGAATTGTTGGTGATGGTTAGGGTCACACCTTTCCTGGTTGACAATAGTAATAAATATACAATACATTTCAAAGTATTCCAAAGTATCAACATATTTTATTAACGTACAAGTATACTGTATATTATGCTGTTGGACAATTATAACTATTATTAATAATACGTTAATGTGAAAGTAGCATTTCACTTCTTCTCCCTGCTAAGCAGTTCAGTCTATGATAATGTATGACATCTTATAAACTCATGTGTGTTATGTGTAGATTCTCTATCAGTATAATAACAAATAACTCGGCCAACTTATAACTGAATTAATGCAGCACCATAAAAAAAGATTCCCCTTTTGAATTATAAAGGAGTTGAAGGATAATATAGCAAAAAATAAAAGACTCACAGTACAGTGGTAGTACACCAGGGGCATGAATAAATGTACTTTTCACAACTGACTAATAGTCAAGGTATAAAGACTGACTCTGTTTTGGGTCACATAGTAAGTGTCTTGAAATCACGCTGCAGGTTGTTTTAAACTTGTCACTTGAAATACATGTCAGAGATCCCTGTACTTATGATGATAATTTAAGGATACTGAAAAGATTGTGTCCCTTAGTTGAATATAATAAAAGAGATTATACACCTGACAGAAATGACTGGTATGAGGCAGCTAACACATGCACCAATGCTCTGTTCTCCTCAAATGATCCTGACAATGTTAACACTAAATTGTTGAGGACAATCACATTGTGTAATGTGTGCGCTAACTGGGACACATATATGCAAACATTATAAGGATAATTGGAAAGACGAGTGCTTGAGTGTTCCTGTATAAATCAGATTAAATGTAATAGGCCTGCTTCTACATTTCAGAAACATTGTTGATTATAAGCTTGTTATAAAAAAACTAAATTTAGGCATGAAACACTTGCCGAGAGGCTGCTGCTGCTGCTGCTGCTGGAGAAGTGTAGAGTTGAAACAAACAAAAATGGTGAAGGCTGAATCCAGAGTAAAAGAAAATCAGGCTTTGATCATGAGCGTGGAAAATCCTGTCCACAGGATTTTATTTTTGCATGCATTTTTCACTTGATAACATTCATGCAGTTAGATGAGGAATTGCTCAAGTAAAGGTATTAGTCATTTTTTGGAATAAATAATATGTATTTTTCATTGCAGGAGCAGCGTGCCTTCTTCCTGGTGTTATGGTTGTCATGTGTAATTCTATTCCAGTTAAACAGTGTCAAAGACTATAACGAGTAAAACTGTGAAGTGTTGCCGACTTTTCTCCCTCAACTAGTCAAAACCTCCAGTGCTATTTTAGCATTGAAGACACGTTCATTGTCTGAGCATTAGCTGTGTTTCCCTGTGATCCTTCACCTGTTTCTGTGGTAAGCACGGGCAAATTTGTAACATGATGACAATGAAACGTTTCACCTCTGACCACCTTACAAAAAAGTATAATCAGGAAAACCTACAAGTTATAGAATGTGCATGTACCATCAACCTCTTGCTGTACTCCCCTTGGTGGCAAAATAGTTATCATTACATTATGTCACATCCATCATCCTCCTCCACTCAAGTTATCTAATCATTATTAGATTGCTGCAGTAACCTCCTCAGTGGTTCCCAAGCTGAAACCTTCTTCAAATTACTGACCATGCAAAGAAGACTTATCTAGCGCTCGGAAGAATAACATAAGGAAACAGAGCATAGGTTCACCAGCAGATATATGAAATCATTACTTATTTAAAGAGGGAAAAAATTAACTAAATATAGAAAAGGTTTAAATAAACATTACCTGTGTATAATAATGTAAAGATCTATGTTCATGGTTTTTCTTGCTCAGTGCTGACACTTCCTCTTGTCTGGCCTCCATGAGGATCTTCTTTAGACCTTCATACTCACTTGCCAGCTGCTTGTTCTCCTCCAGTGCAGTTTTTAGTGCTTCCTACACACACAGGGAAACAAAAGGTTGAAGTATAACAGTAGAGGTAAACAGTATTTTAAAAATACATTTAAATATCTCATACCTGTTTTCTTTTTTGACACTTTGTACCTTTACTACATGACTTGCTCAGCAGCAGCCTGCTGGGACTGAGTGAATAAATCGCACAGTGAAAACATTGAGTTCTATATATCAAAGACGTTATATTTACTGTGCATCAGCCACTTAATGATAACGATCCAGTGAGTCTGACTGGTGCATCAGTCACTGTCAACAATATACTAAAAAGGTACAAGGCCTAAAACCAGGGTCCTTTTACACTGTAATTTGAATTTTACAACATTCACTAATGACGTTGTGTTAGTATCATGACCATTTTAACAATGTGTGTATCATAGATTATGTATAAAGAAAGACAACATGTCTACCCTTCCTCTCTCTATCTAGAAATGAAGCCATATTATCCCGGATAGGAACGCTGCCATCTTGTGCAATCGGAGCCAGAGTCTGCGACGTAGCAACAGGGGGGATTGAGGCACAGTAGCCTGGTCCCACCGATACAAGCGCTTCACAAATCAAGAGTTATTTTCAGTTATCAACCATGACGTTTCACCCCATTTTTATAGCATCTAATAAAAATGGAAAAATGAACACTTGGATGGACTTTAGTGTGATAAGAACTACCTACGGTATAATGATAGAAACCATCTTGGTGAAAAACGTATTCGAAGTGTACTTTTTTATTTGGTCCAGGTCCCATCCACTAGCATGGAGGAGGCAGGATTTATGACCTATACTGCAGCCAGCCAACAGAGGGGGATAGAGATGCTTTAATTTTGGGGAGCAATCATGTTGTCCATCTTTAAAAACAGACCACAGCTACACTGGCCGGAGAACGACAGCATTAAGTGCAGTTCACATCTAAAAATAATGGGTGAACACACAAGTCAATGTTGTCATGACAACAAAAGAATAGTTCTTATATATCAAAATGAACTGGAGAGTCAATATACTGTACAGCCCTGTGCATACTGTATAGTAACAACACACAGGCCATTTAGAAGAAACATTAGTTTAACCACTGATCTGCAATGTGTGCATACAATATAATACATGCACTCTGTATCCGTGCAGTTAATTAAGGCAATGTAAATACCAGACATAAAACAATGGACTCTTCTTTCTGGTAATTCAAGCAAGTAAATCACAGTGAGCATGTGTCTCTCTCTGCATGTCCGCCTTTTCATTTGATCTGCGTTTCCCAAGTACTGGATGTGTGATTGGTGAATATCTCCAACACTACCTGCAGACATAATGAAGTGTGTCTCTGCAGTAAAACAGAACAGCACTAAAGTGATGAGTTTAACCCAGCAGAAAGAGGGGCTGTAAACATGACAAATGCCTGCTATTGATTTCAGGTTTAATTACTCCATGCAGCACTGACAAAGCCCATCTGACGCTGTTGTGAAGTGTAAATGGAACAAATTACACTTCATTGCCCATAAGAAACTGATTGCGTCTGCATTTTGCATTGTTTACTTTGTCCTCACCGAGCGACAAGCCCTGATCAAATCAAAAAACAGATGCGTGTATGAAAGTCCTCTCACATGTGTATGGTTTTAATAGAGCTGACCACTCCACTTCAATATACTGTGTATTTGTATCTTTAAAATTAACCATCTGCAGGTTGTATTTAATACATCAGGCTGTTAATTATATGAACCTGTATGGGTTTGTGTTTTAAAGGGGAGCTGCATCCAACAGGAGCTTATTGGGGTCAGCATATTTACAGGAAATCTCATATTTGAGATTCTGCTTCTGCTTCATGGACAGTGATTTCTGAATGCACACTGCTTATTATGTTATGCTAATTCACACATTATGTGTTGTTTATATCAGTCCCGATGATTAAAGTGACCCATTTCTTTTAGAAACTTCAGATTGACTGTGATCTTTGTATTTGCTGCTGTGTATTGTTGTTGTATCATCTTATTTCATCAAGTGAAAAGACTAAACCCCTTTTTTGCATGGCTAATTTTTATCTGGCTAATGGGAGTTGTCTACGAGGAAGACTTCTAATTCTTAAACTGTCTCACACCAACAACTTCTTTAAAGTTGCTGCACTTGGATGCATGGCGGCTTAAGCTCCATTGCCTTTTCTTGTTTTGAACTAATGCATTCTTGATCACCGTTTAATGAAACTATATACCACATGGCGATTTCACATTAGATAAGCCATGTGAAACCCCCATCAGCAAAGAGGCTCTGGCTGGGGCTGATAATCCTGCAGATGAAAACCTACAATAAACAGGGGTTTCTCTTACAAAGGAGTGTTCAAACACAGGCCATTTTGTGCACAGTACACTCACGTTTTTTTATACAAGAGCCCGTTTTTGATATCAATATAAAAAAGTCCTGATTATATGCTTGTTTGATATTGGGAGCCGTGTGCGTGTTGAAAATTGCTGTTGAAAGTGCTGGCCCACAGGTAACAAAATAGGCAAAGCTTCTCACCGTGACACGCATCATCAAATTCGTCCAGACAAAAGACTATAACAACAGTGAGTTGTCATTTGTGGGAAAAGCACTTAAACAAGATGGCCATGGCTTGTAATTTTAATTGCACACAGCTCTTTTCTCTCTGCATCTTAAGAGAAGTATTGTGACACGCAATGTGCTGACACTAATCCACAAACAAATAAACAATGAGATGTTTTTTACAGCTCGCCTCTGACTTCACAGTATATGTCAAAAAAAGAAGGTGTGTGTTTACATAGAGTTATAGAGACAAACATTTTTTTGGTTACCTTGGTTCCTTCCATTTCCCTTTTCCTCGCTGTAACGTGAGCGGTGTGTGTCTGCATGGATCGCTGTGTTTGTCGTTGGCAGTTATTAATATCAGACTGCAAGGTGCTCATTATGAGAGCAGCTGATTTGTTTTTGAAATCCACTGCATCAAACACACTTCTGGAAGGAGAAATCAAACATACAGAGTAATATTCCTCTGGAATTATCATTATTGTTATGAATATTATACTCTAGATAACGCTTCTATTTAGGAAACATCCAGCCTTTTGAAAAAGAAATAGCATCAAAGAGAAGCTAAGTTCTTAGTGATAGTCATCACATTTTAAAACACAGCATTTTCTAATTATTGCAATCATTTCCTTAATCTAAATAATTGTTCTTGAGTGTTTCCTCTTACTGGAGTTCTTCAATGACTTCTGGCATGCTCTCAACAGTTTTTCCCATTTCATCCGAAGAATCTTGGTATTCTTTGCTCTTCTTCGTGAGGTCACTGATCCTGCCCTGAGTGTCCTCACAACTCTTTATAGTTGCAGAGTGTAAATCCTGTAAACAAAGAGTAGCATTAGAGTTGAGAAAAAAATTTAATTGTTCAAAGTGCTTCGAGCAAGAGATTATATTGTTCAACAATGAAGAAAAAATGACATGATGAATAGCTGTGAGTAGCTTGGTGCTCAATGAGCTCTACTGAATAAACCTGACTGAGCAACTTCAGAGGAACTGATTTATGTAATCATTAGTTTGACTTTTCTTACCTGGGCTGCTCTCAAGAGGTCAACTCTGAGTTTTTTCTCCCTCTCAAGGTCGAGTAGTGTTTTCCCGTGCTCATACTGAATCTTCTCAAAATGTTCTGTCACCTTTTTGATTTTCTTTGCAAACCAAGATAAATCACATTATGTAGTTTATAAATTGTTGTTTTCTAAATTGTCTTTGGACTATGATGAATTATTATTAGTACCTCAATTTTTGTCTCTAGTGCCTTTGTTGTTGAAGATGCTTCTTGGAAATCTTTCTGAAGTTTTTGGTTGGTTAGCTCTGAGCTTCTTGTCTGTCGTTGTAGTGCTTCCCTGATGTCTGCACACTGACCCTTATGCAAAAGCAAAATACAAGGCAGAATGTCACTATCCATATGTAATAATAACAGGAACACTAGGGAAAAATAATTGGATGAAATAATATGCAATTGAATAAATGCATTTAAACAACCTTTATGAAACCTAAAATATTCAGCATTTTGAATGATACTGTTTTATACATATTGTGTACAGTATGTATGCTCTAACATAACAACAGACTGTATGATGCTTCCATACTGTAACTATAAGCTTCAATAATTGTTGCCATAAGTTTGCAGAAATCTGGTTAAATCTGCTAAGATCTACTTTGTTTGGACTTTTGGATGTGAGGCGCCTGATGAATTCACCTTCAGTAGTTCCAGGACTGTTATCTGACCTGTCAGATCTTTCTTCAGGTTTTCTATCTCTGTCTGTGGAGCATACAAAGGCCACTGAGTAACACTGGAGAAAGCAGTTAGCATCTCACATTTCCATACAAACTGTGACTTGTGCAGTGTACACAGAACATGTACACATGTTGTCACTGACCCTGGCCCTCTGCTCTTCCACGAAGGTGAGCTGCTCCTGCTTGTTCAGCTTAGTCTGGGCGACACTGTGCCGGGCTACAACTTGGGTCACCTCCTCCTTGGCCTTTTCCCGCTGCTCATCATTGTCAAGGATTTTCTGGAGCATCTGCTCCCTCTCGAAGCGCATCTGCTTTACTGCTTTCTCACTAGCAAAAATCCCACAGTAAAGTAATGGTAAAAAAACATGTGGCCCTCAGCTGTAGTGATATCAGCATGTTTCTCCACCTGTTCTGGCCTTGACAACGTACCTCTCAGAGATTTTCATCTTGTAGTCTTCAACATTCTGCTCATACTCCATGTTTTCTTTACAGAGAGCTGCGAAAGCATTACATTTTGAATGGAACTGCTCTTCTATGCAGGAAACCTCTTCTTCCCCATTAAGTTTCTGTGGACAATATAACATACAGTACACCACTGAGTGGATGCACTTACCCAAAACACCTTGCTGTGCCATAGATTCAAATATTATTAGCATGCATAGCTCCATTGACAGTCCAATCTAAACGTTGGCAGTTGCATGTGTCGCTCTACTCAATGAACTCTCAAGAATCACACGGACGGTAGCAAAAGCAGCACGACATGAGGAGCTGAAGTTTCTGTGACTTTTTAATGCTGCTGTGACAATACTTACAGATCTCTCAATATCCTCTTGCAATGCAATTACTTTGTCTTTTAATTTCTTATTCTTATGCCTTTCATCCTCAATTTGACGTTTCAAATGTAAAATCTGTAACAAGAGTAGAAAAATACTTGAATTAGACAACTTTTGCATCATGATATAAGCTAAAAAATCTAAAAATTAAAATATGGCCAATATAAGTTACCCGTTCTTTCTCAGTTTTCTCCAGCTCCATCATCTCAGGGATACGTTGCGTCATGGCTGCACACTTGTCTTCTGTAAGAGCAACTGTCTTTTCGGCAACATTTATTTCAGCACATAGACCTTTCTCAAGCATCGTCATCTGGTTTAAATCTTCCCTGGAGAGAAAAAGGTTTTGTTATTTAATTGTCGGGTGAATATTAAGAAACACACATTAACCCACAATGCATTGCTATCATATTTTCCCAATGATACCACAACCAACATGAAACACAATATATTGTAAAAAAAAATGTTTATAACACACCATGACACCTGTAAAAGTAAAAGTATTTACTTTATTATGATGATTTAGTTATTACTGTTAAAACAATTCAAAATCCATTATTTGGGGTATCAGGACACTTACACTTCTTGTAGGCATTTTAACAAAGGTCTAGGTTGCTAGGATACAAGCAATTTAATATATACAATACATTTTAATAATATACACTTATTCAGAATGCTGAATGTGCTCGCATGGCCAAGACATAAATTTGAATAAAAATGCTGTAGATAAAAAATTACATATGATTAAATGCTCATTTGAATGTTTTTTAATACGAAAACAAAATAGGTTTCTGAAATGTCCTTTGCACTTATGTAAGAGTTCAAACTGGGCCCAATGTTTTTACAGTGAAAGCCACTGGTGATGTGGAATTTGAAGAAAGATTTCTCCTGTCTTCTCAGCTGCACTACTCTAACAGTAAACTTGTTGTTTCTCCAATACAGTTAGGACGATACTCACAATCTGTTAGCAAGCTGAGTCTCCATCGTCAGCACAACATGGTCCAATGATATTTTTTCATTGTTGGCGTCCAGTTCCATCTTTTTAAACTCCTCCTGGACCATCAGGAGATCACTTTGTGTTTTTGAGTTTACCTCATCAGCCTGAAAAAAAGGAGTAATAGGTAAACTACCTTCCTCTGATTTTATTCATGAACAATTTCATAAATGTCCTATTATAAAACCATACTCTCAATCCCATAACATTAGCTTTTCACTGCTACAGGTCAACACAGAGGCTATACATGAAAAAGCCGAATGTTAGCTATTAACCCTGGACTTAAGTTGATTTTTAGGATTCACATTTGAACTTTTGAGCTGATGACTTGATGATATGCGATTAAAAGTCTGTTGTCTCATTTAGAAAGAATGAAAATGCTAAATTTTCAGGTTAAAATGTAGCTGTGTCATATTTATCCCTATTTTTTCTCTCTACTAATGCACTTAGAATACAATATTTTCATGTTAATATTAAGCTCAAAATACAGCTGAGTCAACATCAGGTCATTACATTTTGATGCATCCTTTAATTAATTGAAGAATTTAAAAAGAAGAAAAGCTAAAAGAAAAGTCCAGGAATTATCAAAGTTATTAGGACTCATTGTCTGGGGACGATGAACGTCTAAACCAAATTTAATGGTAAATCCAGTCAATTGTTAAAAAAGAGATTTTACGGCAGACTTAAGTGTTGGATGGACACTGGATGAACAACCCAACAAACTATTACAATCCCTGGTGCCAAGAAAAAGGGTTCAAAAAGAGCGAGTGGGTGAGTGAGATAAAAAAAAAATAAAAGAGAATAAAACCCAGACAAATGCATTGTGCAGTTTGCTACAATGGGACTCAAACTATGTTAACTATCGAATCTTTGCAAAAGCGGCAAAATAATTTTGCTGCTTCTCACAAAAGCTGTTAACGACATCCTCACAATCACATGTTACCAGCTTTTATAAACCTAGCAATGAAATAAATCAAATTAGAATCTACCTTTGCTTGTGCAATGTTGATTTGATTAATGATGGCTCTCTGGAGGTCCAGGTTTTCTTTCACAATGGGTGTTTGTTTTTTGGCAAAGTTGATGTCATCGTGTAAATGCTGGTTCAACACCTCTGTGTCTGATAGTTTCTCTTGGAGCTTGTCCAGCTTCTCTTTTTCCAATTTTAGCTGCCACTTCAACTCACTGATGTCTCTGTTGCAAGCCTCGTGCTCTAGAAAAGCATTAGTGGAGTAATGGTGAAGTTTGGAGTGTAGGAGAACAAGATCACAACACTTCACAAGGAACAGGTCTACAAATAGGTGACAAAGCATCTTATTACTACCGACCTTTTTGCACGACAAAGGAATGCTCTTGTTGCTTCCACAGTGAAACACTGTCAACTTTGCTCTCCAGAAATCTCTTTCTCCTCTTCTCTTTGCGGAGAGCTTCCTCTGCGTACTGCCGATCAGCCTCCAGCCGCTCAATCAGACACACAACCTCTCCAAGGACGTCATTTATTTTCTTCAACAGTGGCGATAATGGACAACTTTCTAGAGGATGGGAAACTTTACCCCGTAATGCATTATATCGTTGAAATGTATTCAATGAACTAAATAGGTTCAACAGTTTTGCAAAGCTATGCTAACATAAACTGACCAAGTGCAGGTAAACAGAAACCTCATCCACTGAATTTCATTAGCATAATTGAAAACTGTGCAGCATATAATAATAATTTTGTG